GAAGACAGGCATATCTAATGCACTTGATGGCAGTGAGGACAACTTGGTGTACGAAGATCTCGAGGCAGACGACGAGGCAATCGGACAAGAGATCGCCGAGATATTTTATAGCGACAATGAAGACGATGACAAGTTCCTTGGATTTTAGCCAAATCTCTGTGGTTCTCCACATACAAACCAAACGGCCCTTTTCAGGGCCACCACATCCTCCAAAAAGAGTTATACCGCTATCATGTGTGTGTGTGTTTGTATGTTATATAGTATTTATTGAATGGTTTGTATCTTGAGTAAATATTTATTGAATATCACTGAAAATTGCCCTTGATTTAAACATTTGTAGCTCCATGATTTAAAGTAAAAACTTCATACATTGTTGCAGTTTGGAATTTGCGTGCATCTCATTAGCATATCATTAACTAATTTGCATATTTCGCATGCAGGCACTTTAAGATTTTAGACAATGCTTCAATAGAAGCTGCACTCGGACTTCACCACTTTTCCTGGGGAGGGCAGCCATTTTCTTTTTAATAGAAGCTGCGGCTTCTATTACGAATTTTACGGTAATTATATATATATATATATATATACTGTATGTTGTCTCACAGAAATATTTTACAAATGTACATATGACTACCAACATGTGTGTATATGATAGAGTTTTCTATATTTTAATAAATCAAAGAAAACTCAGAAAAAAACTCTTGTTTGCTGAGAGAGTATTTAAGACACATTAAAATTAATTTAAAATTTAAGATTTTCTTTTCAAACAAGAAGCTTGGCACTTAATATTTGTCTGCTATTTGAGATGCACAACTTGAAAACAATGGGATTCACAGTATCAAAATTTATAATACATACAGAAAATACATTTGATTTTTTTTTCAGAGCACCTCTGTGATGAATTCACTTTGAATCTGATTTTTTAGATATCAGAAATAGGCTAATAATAGATAATCAATCTGCATGTTTATCAACATTAAACTAATCATTGTCTGTGGATTACCTCAATGAACCAAATGAATTATTTACAAATTAAGCAATTATTAAGTAAATTATTATGCAAATTAGGTAATTATTATAGATGTATATAAACCTAAAACTAATTAGATCATCACATTGTGTTAGAGTACATATGTACCAAGATTCATTGAATTAAGATAAGTACTGTCACAGACCGGGCAATCTCTCAGAGTATCGGACAATCACGGTAGCAGCATAAATTATAAAGTAGCGGCCCTCTACGCTAAAACGTTTTGGGAAAAACACTACCACCTCAACAGTTACTAAAATTAATACTATGATTCCAAGTACAATTTCCAAAACTTATGAGTTGAAGCATGACATTTTGAAGTTTATTTTCAAAACATAACTTGTTACTGAACTATTTAGGCAACCTTGTTTTGAAATAATTTTGTCCCACGCATTCAGTTCTATTGTTCTTCTCATTTTCATGCAAATGCAGCTTGCGTTAAGGCTAACGTGCATTAACGTCATGTTGGCATGATCATAACGCGATCTTAACATAGCATTAACGTGTGTTAACATGTGGAGTAGGCAAGTTTTGAGCTGTACAGTAAATCAAAAAATTGGTGGAAATTGTTGTAAATCATGCATCCTGCATGACACACTACAGTTCAATTTGTACATGTACCAAGATGTTGATTCTGTATTGTAGTTATCCATGTATGTTTTATGAATTTTTACTCCCGTGTGCGAAGAAGTTTTTTATA